TTTGCAACTATCCATTAAAGTATCGTGTAAAGCTTGTTTATGCAGGTATCGATCTGTTTTTTTTACTCCAACAATACCACTAAAAACAATTGTAATTTATTCTTAATTTTAATAATGTAAACAATTATATCAACTATAACAACGGCTTTTCACAGTCCAAAATGTAAATGCATTGATTAGAGAGCACGAAGTATGAAAGCTGGTAAGCCACATCCATCGTATTGACATTACCAAGACTTCACTTAAATTGAAAAGCTTGAGGGTTATACCAGAAGTAAATTACCAAGGCAGAGGGATGAGAAGCTGTATCAAATGGAGATATGGGGTGATTGTGACCATTAAGGATCATCCCAATCTTAGTTGATGAATTTAATTTTTAGCATTGTATTCAAACTCTCAAAAACAATATCATAATTAATTAGGAGGAATTTATCATATATAGAAATTATGCGCAGAAGCAATTATGAATGGAAACAACATAGTGAGCAGGTACAGGAAAATATTAGTAAAAAGACCTCAATATCTTGGGCAAAAATAAATTATCATGTTCAGAAACAATATTATTGGCGAAAACAATATGATCATAACAAAATGTTATGAGCAGAAGTAAGCCATCTAGCGCAGAAGCAGGATATCAGACAACAGAAGCAATATTATGATCATTTGCAGAAGAATAATATGCAGAAATAAAATATTATGCTCCATAACCTAAATAGTACGAACAGAAGCAAAGTTTTAGAAAGGATACGTCGTTTGCTTTTGAAGGCGACTCGAACACATCGACAATTTTTTGGTATGGACATGACAACTCCCTTTGCGTCGCTATTTAGACTGCAGCTCAGTGAAGCAAAGAATTGCCAATTTTGACTCTTGATAAAGTTATATTACATATTAACACAAAAAATGCACGAAGTATCATATTTTAAAATTTAAAAATTCACTATTTATTTCATGTAGAGAGAATTTACAAGTAGAGATTTCAAGTAAAATGTTAGTGGGAAATTAATACACGAAGAAAATTAATTGGTATGAATAGCGCTAAAGCTCGATAAACAGTGAATTTCCCAATACTGCTGGTCATTGATACCTCAATCAACTTCCATCAGACCAACAATACGAAAGCTATTATTAATCAATATCCTCCCGTTATCGTCGACTTATTGATGCGTCAAACAAAACAACCACGTCATTAAATTGCCCTCGAAAATTGATATTGAATTCTCTAAATACAAACGATTACGAAACACTTTTTGATTAAGTTAAATTCAATTGATTGAACATTTTATATTAAACTAAATGTGATAAACTTCATTAAAACTTGCACAAACATGGAAATAAATCGACACAATGAATGTTTCTACATATGTATACTTTCATATAGTGTGGTATAAAATACGGTCGTTGGATTTAATTTCGCGGAAACGCAACATGGGCCCAATTTCGCATCTAAAAAATTGCTTTCCTCAGAAATTCGGGTCGACATCCGCAATTCGGAGCCGTGAAATTTATGTCCTCCATTAAGTCTAACGTTGTGCACCGCGCGAAACATGAAAAACGCGAGTGAAAGCCGGAAAAGTAAAACCGCTAGCTGGCAACCTCCGATGGCCCGTGACCCCGACCTTTTGGAACAACCATATTATAAGCATGCGAGTCAGCATGATTTTAAATGAATGGATTTTACAACAAGAGTCGAAACGAAACATCACGCGATTCAATCATTATGCGACCATACTTTACGTCAAATGAAGTAAAGAGTAGTAAAGGATAATGGATAGGACGATAGTGTGTCATTGAATTTAGTGGTTATACAAGGAAAAAGAGAGTAAGAAACGATAAACTCAAGGTATAATCTAAATCTCATTAAGTGCTCGTTAAAAGTGTTATGAATCCTTTTCATTTTTTATGTTGTGCTAAATATTATAATTTATGAAGCAATAAAGTTAAATTTTTTTTTACGTTTATGATTATTTAAATTGACAAATTAAAGATAAAGTTAGAATTGTGATGAACAACTCAAGGAAAAAACGAACATTTCTCCATTGGGCTCCAGCAAATATACCTCAGGCTAAATTCCCAATTCTTTTCCTGTTATCTGGTAATTGAAAATAAATTGACTACGTGAAGCCATTACATTTCTTGTTTTGGTACCGATGTTTTCCGTTGTCTCGTATTTTTTTATGTAATTACTGTAAAAGCTACATCAAAGTATTACAAAATCACGAAAGACAAACATAAAAATAAAAATGAACATTTTCAATGTGAGATAATTATAGCAGTGAAGATAACTTCAAATTGATGTTTGGTGGTAGCAGTGTAATTAGTTGTTAATGTACCTATTGGGCGTCTATCTACATTGTGGTGTTTGTGGAATTTGCTTTTATGCATTAATCTACTTACCGAAAGCTTATACCTGGTAATGTTGAGGCTAAAATGTACACAACCCTTGTTAATTATTAAAATTTCTATGATTAGAATCGAATTTCAAACAATTTTAAAAATAAAACAGGATTAATTTTATCGATAAATCAATAACAAAGAATAGGTTTAAATAGCTTCGTATCAACATTTCATAATGTTAAAGTTTACGGTGCGTTCTTAAAAGTATTCCTTAACTTTTCTCATAAACTTAGAAAATTGAAGTATTCCGGGAAGGTGTGCTTTAGAGTTTTCTATACGATATTATTAAATTACTATGAAGGAAGTTGGGAAATACGTAAACTTATTTGAAGTAGTTTTTAAAAGTTTTGTTAACAAAAATCTTGGTCAGTTACTTCCATAGAGGTCAGTGTGAAATTTATATCAGGTGTAACAATGGGTTATCCTCTACAAGGTAATAATTTTCGTCTCCAAACATCGTCTGGCTTTTACGGTCTAGATACCCTTTTTATTATCAATTACTTTGCGTTTCACGAGGATCGTAAAATTCTCAAAAAAAACCGACACCCTTCTAAAAGCGATGTGATATCTTGCTTATATGAGTCTATTTAGTTTCCAGATATGTTGTAGAATTGTCATAGTGATTTTATTGTTTATGGATTTTAATGATTTTTAAAAACTTTTGCACAAATTTATATATGTGAATTGTTATGAAATAATAAAGCATATCATTAAAATTTAAATATGTAGTTTCAACTTTATATAGGCGAATAATTATCAATAAATAAATAGTAACTACGCGTTATTTTTAATAATATTTTGTGAACGATATACAGCTGCTACAACTTGGCCTGTAGTTATGTATAATCATTTAATACAAAAATTACACTTTTGTAACCACAGGTAACATTTTCTAGGAACCATAAGAATAAAAGTATACTTAATAATCTATAATTTGCTTACCAATGACGATATGAACCATATCTATATTTCTCTCAGAATAAGTTGATACGAATTTATTTTAAGCTTACTAAAACTTAATAACATTAATAAGAATATTTAATTTTTTAAAAACGTCCTGCTAATCCAACTTAACCCCACTCATCGGAAGGCAACCCAACTCAACCAAACCTAAGCAAATGTGCCCAAAGTTAACGCAATTTTTTATCTTTTTATTACTCAAAAATAATTTAAAACAAGTTAGATAAAAATAGATATAATATGTTTACACTTGAAAGATGATTAAGGTATAAAATTTGAAACGTGTTCAACGTATTGAAACAACTGTAGAACATTCGAAAGCGCCAGGTCAATGGTCTATGCACAGGAGTTACCAACGCTTTTTTGTGCTTAAACTGTAAACACAGCTGTTTCCATTTTGAATAAAAATTCAAATTCAACTACCATCACTACGTCGTACAAATGGATAGGAGAGAAGCCGATTTTACGTAATTTAAAAACGATTACTTATGTGCACATTAACATTTATGTGACAGCCAGGTCAAAAAGTGGAAAGCAAAAATTTGGAAGTAATGCTACATGGATTCAACAAAAAAAGGACTTTTTCCTTTTACATCGATTTCTTTTTCTATTACGTAAGGATAGAAGAAGAAAGAATTTATTAAATGTAAGTTTTATGAACTGGAACAACGTTGAAAATTTTCGTAGTCAATTAGCTTTGAAGCTCCTATGCTGGTTACGAAAGGACAAATTTAATAAGGCTTCTTGATTTAAATTGCCTCTGCCAAGAACTTGATTCTATCGGAAGACACCAACGTTACTCCAGGAGCAGGTACTTCTCGACACCATTCACGACCACCTCAGGTGTAAATAAACGCCATCAGCAATAAACGGCTACTTAACGTAAATACGCTTCAGCAGGTTTTCAACCTACACAAAATATTTAAATATGTATAACTTTTATAATTTCTAGTTTTCATTAATATATTAAAAATGTTTTAACCTCATTTATCTTTGTGTTATTATTATTATATTCTATGGTCGATAAATTCTGACCTCCTCAACTTTTGAATGCGGAGAATTACAGGTCTATTTACGACTATCCTAAATTATGTAGGACACGGTGTTCGATCGTGTTCGCTGAGTTGCCGAGAAAACACCCTCGCAAATAATCAAAACTGCGACGTCTAGCAAAAACGCCCACTATATTCGTTTATTTTTAACCGGAAATATTCCGGGTATGATAAACAGCCTCGTTTGCAATTTACCACGGGACAGTAGGAATCCCTTGTGGCTCAACTACATCCATTACTCTTGTTTTAAGGCATCACAATATCTTTAGATAAAAGATGTTTTATTTACATATAATAGTTATTTATATTACAAGTGGGCTAGAAACATAATTACTGTACGAGTGTAGAGAATTGCACGACGAAGCCGTAGACCGAGTCGTGTAATTACACGAGTACTGTAATTATGTTCTAGCCCACGTGTGATATACAACATTTTATCTACGACGGCTAAAAATTACTTAAAAATCAATTTCTTTAAAAAGGTCTATTTTGACATTTATAAAAATATTTTGAAATGATTGTTGACAATTTTGCTCGTTTCAATAAATTAAGTCTGTTCTGATTAGGCTAAAAATGCGTTACGTAATGAAACCAGTGAAAGAAATCACCTCAAATGAGTGTGGTAATGATGACTTATCCAAGCAGTCGTAGATAAAGATATTAACATAACGATATCAACAGGAAGATATCAATATAAAGATATAGTAATATAAAGGTTATTGTTATTTATTCGTAGAACATTATGATATTAATCAACCACTTAATAGAAAGTTTGTAGAACATAAATGATTGATATACGCTTGGAAGTCGTAGAGGGCATCTTACTATGACCCATATTAAGGGAGAAATGCCAAGTTCCGTGTTACCGAATTCGCGTCGCGTTTAGTTCGGGGTAGCGCAAGCGTCTAGACGCTCCAAATGGAGCGTCGGGACGCCGACCAGTCTGTCCACGGCCATCAAGGTCGACTGTCAACGCGAAACGACGCCCAGCGGATCATGTGTATATTAGTGATAACGTTATTGGACAATCACATTGGTGTCAAGGGTGAATCCACTAATGAACAACAGTTATCACGGACCATCATTGAAATGGATAGTAAGTATCAATACTGATAAATAAAATTTTTTAGTTTAAAAGATTCCTAACTTAACCTTATAAAATGTTTGTTGCAATGTTTACAAACTTAACACGTAAAGTTAAGGATAAGTATTTAATGGAGTTTTGAAATTACACAAAAGAAAATTATAAAAGTCTTGGACATAAGACAAATGTAGATCTAATAAAATCGTTGCAACCTATTTACTCATCAAGAATACTATTTTTCCTTCTCCAATTGTTATAATAAAGCCATTATTTAATCATCGCCACATAGAAGAAGCATACAAACATAAACACAATTATTTACGATTTATTATCTGTCGCCAAATGTTATTATACATTATAAAACGATCCAACTCAAAACTAAAACGTCATATATTATATATTATTATTCAAATTTATGTGCCGAGTATTAATGTGAATAACATGTAAAATAACATCTTTCAGTGTGTTGTTATTATGGAAAATAAATATATTAAAGCTGCTCGAAGTGTTCGATAGAGTGAAAATTGCAAGTTTGCGACATTTGCTGTGTCCTATTCGCACATACACTTCATTTTAGGTGAGTACTCGTGTAAATACGATACTCGACGCTTCAATACAGTTCGTTATTTTCATGGAAAATCAATTCGGACACATTCCGATTTTATTCGAACACTTTCAGACTCAATTAATTTATCCTTATCTCTATCACTTTTTGTCATTTATTTAGTATATTTAAATGGATTATGCCATGACAAAATCATTTGAATGTATGCGAATTTAAGTTAAGTCCTTTAAGTATTTCGGATTTACTTAATGCAATTTATGGAGAAACTTCCCAAAAAGCTCTCCCATGGAAAATAAAATAAAGCGGGTTTATTCTACATTGCTTCCTTCCTACATGAATAAGTTAAGAATGTCACTTATAAAAGTCACTTCCCTCGAAAGTCGCTTTAGCAATTACGCATTGGTAAAGTCGGGGCAGTACTTCGAAACAAAACGTTTACAAAGTTTCTTTAGCCCGACCAGAAATATGGTCCTTCGGTTCAATGCGTAATCTTGATTCACTTCGGTGGTTTTGAATACAGAATTAGCTGCTTTAAGGAGATTGAGTTCCTCGGTGAAAAGATTGTTCGCGGAACTTTCTGTTTTGCCGAAGTTGGACCGGAGACTCTTCCGCCGATGATTGGTAACGTGTTAGACCTAAGTTTGTAATTGAAAATTATTTACAAACTTTTAATTAAAGTTGATGGTAAAATATTAAAACTTTCTCGATTTATCTACCACTATACTTTATATAATAATATACTTTCTATATCGTTTGCTATCTATTTTTTCGAAATACTCACTTTGGTATAAATTGCCATTTAAGAAACACGTCAATTCAATTCTCTTTTAATTGTTTAATATTTAAACAGAGTCGTTTGGTAGAACTTGCAGACTTCTTAAAATCTGGAATCATCAAACAGCTTAATTTTTGCCATTTTCAGTAAGGTTTCGACTCTGACTGCAGTAATTTCAATCTTCGCTTCTGTTTGGTGTGTAGTCGTTGCAATTCCAGACTTTATTATGAAGTTTTAAGTCTAATTAGAGGAATTCTCTTTTTATGTAGCATCGTTTTGCGCTTGGAATGTTGCCCATAGACATATTTACCGACTATATCTTGCTGTTTAGAATAGGGCTCTGATTAAAGCAAGTTAAACTCTTTTCTGCTATTTGGTGTCTGATCGTTGGAATTCCAGAGTTTCGTTTTGATTTAGCCAGAGCAAATCCTGACTTTTTTTTAAAGTCTAGAGTCTTGCTCATATATTTACAGACCACATCTTGCAGTCTAGAATCATGTCAATAGTTACAAACATTTCCTGCAGGAAAGCTGAATTCCTAACATTTTCTTTAAAGTTAAGATTCTGGCTAGAGCAAGTTAAACTCTTTTTTGCTATTTGGTGTCTGATCGTTGTAATTCCACAGTTTCTTATAAAGTTTCCAGAGCAATTCCATATATTTTTTGCAGTATGGCATCTGTCCAATACAATTCCTGACATTTGTTTTAAGTCTAATGTCTTGCCAATGAATTTACAAGCTTCTTCTTGCACCCTAGAATCATGTCAGAACATTTGTTACAGTTTAGAAATCGCAAAGCAAAATTCCTGAAATTTTTGGTTAAGACTCTGACTAGAGTACAGTTATGTTTCACAAATCGCTAGTGCTCTGTGATCAACTAATCTGTCAAAGTTTTCCCTAATAAATATGGTCTAAAATATTTATACTGGCAACAGATTTGTGTCAGCCGCTAGACAAAAGTGCTCCAACAGCTATAATGTGGACTAACATAATAATTCAATCATTATCCTATAGAAATAGTAAAGATTTTTTTGTTAAATTGTTTTTAAAGCGTATAAGTTTCGCGCAAATCATGAAATATAAAGTATATTATCATTCCAACTTAATTTATATTTTAGCAACAACGATAAACTTTAATATTACTTAAAATAGCCCAATATAAGTTATTTGTAATAACAAGGTACACATGCACTAAAGAGTTTAAGTACGTGTTATTTTGATTTTGCTGTTGGTGGCAACAAGGGCACAACGATTGCGTGCAGATAAACACTCTTTACGGTGCAAGGTCCAAGGTATGAATCAATCCGTTCAAGGACAGACATTATGAAGTTTAATGGTCAATATCGAATTGCCTGACTTTGGTCTGATTGTCCCAGACATTACATACGCTATGGCAGTGACACACTTACTAACTTTACGGAGACGCCATTATATTAAGAGCTTTGGTAGTTTTATCGGATGCCAACAATACGAATTACCCGTTACGAAACCGATAAAGAAGCCACTCGTGACGGAAACTTAAAATAACTTACCTACGACTACTATCTGGGTTGAGAATGTAACACAAAATCCATTGTTTCTGATTAAAATATATTTCTGGTAAATCTAGCGACGTTGAGATTATCACGTCTCACCCGATGTTAATCAGTTAACGTACAATAAAGCATTTATTATTGTCTGGATTTCATAAAAGGTCGTGATTTTAGTCCCCAAAAGCGTCACGTCCCAAAGCAACTTTTATTACTTATCCTAAGGTTTCGTGCTGCCCTTTTAACGCTCCAAGTAATATAACGCCTCAGAACACCTTCCAAGGACGAACGAGAAGCTTTAAGTACTTACAAGTTTGAGATGTCAAGGTGTAATAAAAATTCAATCCTATTGACTTCACATATATTTTAAACAAGATTCTATAAAAATAAAATAATAGTTATTTATATTACAAGTGGGCTAGAAACATAATTACTGTACGAGTGTGGAGAATTGCACGACGAGGTCGTAGACCGAGTCATGTAATCACACGAGTACTGTAATTATGCTCTAGCCCACGTGTGATATACAGCATTTTATCTACGACTGCTAAAAATTACTAAAAAATCAATTTCTTTAAAAAAGTCTATTTGACATTTATAAAAATATTTTGAAATGATTGTTGACAATTTTGAATTGTCAGTTTCAACAACATGTTTACTCATCTGGAATAAGTGTTTCGAAATGTAAAAACATAACAATTAATGTTTATAATAAATAGTATTGTTTCTCTGTAAGTAGATAGCACTTTTTCTTTTGTATTGTTGCTCGTTTCAATAAATTAAGTCTGTTCTGATTAGGCTAAAAATGCGTTACGTAATGAAACCAGTGCGGTAATGAACTTCATTACGTAACTCAAATCACCTCAAATGAGTGCGGTAATGGTGACTTATCCAAGCAGTCGTAGATAAACACTTTTATTTCTATTTTTTAAGTATCTAATAAGTATTTAATATTTAAATAGTATTTATATATTTATATCTAATAAGTTATTCAGCAAATATTTAATGTATCTAATTGAAAGGAAGATGCGTAGAAAATCTGGAAAATTCCATTTATAAAAGACGACCCCCAAGTATTATTTTTACGATTTTCTGACAATGCTAAAAATATACCTTCCCAGCAGATTTTATGGCTCTATGGCTAAGAGTCACGTCGGAAATAACGATTGATTTATTGGCACAATTTTTCAACGGGAGTTTTAATGAACGACACAATCTATAACTAAGGATTCCACCTACTAGGTTTTTAGTTGAGATATTTTATCATTTCAGCTTTACTAGCGAACAAAAATGTAAAGTTAAAAGTTGAATTTGCGATTATAAAAACTGCGAAAGTTTCATCGTAACCTTTGAAACGCTTGGGAGTGGAACCAGTAAAACCTGACAACTTTTCGGAAAATTTTGACCAGTTAAAATTTATTACCTTATCTAACTTCATCGACACCTGTCATTATAGTTAAAGATTTTTTTGTGAAATACTTTTAGAATGAAATATCTCTTCAAAATTTTCTAAAACGGACACAGTTGACTCGTTAGTTACTTCGTGTGACCCAAATACGTCGGGATATTATAGGACGAAATGAAAAAGTGTAAGAGCGGGAACGCATGCTGAAACTGATGAGGACTTGGTGTGGTACGATCGATAAAGACTCTAGTTAATATTCATGTCAAAACATTTCTCTCTCATCTCCCTTCGCGTCTCCTCTAGCCGCCACGGAAGTTGAGACCTTTTTCTTCTGTTTACCTCGTTGTTGAATTCGAAAAGTCGGTGCAGTCGCCGAGGGCGGGACTTGCGAATCATTTACATAATAATAGGGTTTTTGTCATCCAATTATTTGCCTCAGGACTGCTGATGCTATTAAGAGAATTATCGTGGTCCTAGGACAGTTTATTGCTTGCGCAATTTATCGTTAGGAAACTTTTGAAGGGTAAGTGTAAACTGTTTGCGGAAAACACTGAATATTCAGCGTTTTCACGTTTTGAATATTTACCGGTGAGATCGAGTTGAGATAAAGATTAATGTGAGGACCTGCTGAACAACATCATAATGCCTTAAGCCAACAATAAATTCTATGTAAAAATTTACATCTTTAACCGTTTGAATGATTGATAACCACATTTGAATAATAACTTGAACGCTGTAATACCTAATTTTAAATTTTAAGTTGAATAAACATGGAATTGATGAAAACTGATCGGTGTGACATGTGTATGTCAAGCCAATTAAAATCCGTTGATTGTTCCCCATCGGTGAGAGGCAATCAATGTAGTACCAATAGAATTTGTATGTTATTCACTTTTATTGTGTCATCATAGAAAATCAATCATTTTTTGATTAATATAATCTTAATTAAGTGTTCAATACGAGCTTCTATACTTTAGATCCGAAAATACATAACACATTACCTTTGTTAAAGTGAGATCGTGGGTGAGACAAAACCCCAAAGGATTCGAACTAGTAGCACGGTTTTGGCAATTGCATACCCCTTTCGTATGTACCTTTATCGCTTTATGTCGCGACCAGCATTATTCAGTAGGAACTGTTCAAAGGAATTTCTTTTCATCCCCTTTTTCGCAATTTTCTCTCCACGTTAGGAGGATTTTTATTTTTACCAATTCTACATTATACGTTATTTTTCATGTGCACGATATACATTTGAGTTAAATATTAAAGTTAAATATAGATGTTAAATATAAAAGTCGAAAATATCCGATTTACAATTACCACGAACGTGGAAGTACTTTATATTGATTTCGAAGAACTCTCTGCTGTTGAAAAATATCACCTCGAGGTAAATATAGATGGATGGAGGGTGATAGGGACGTAAGCGTTCTAGATCTTAATCAATTTCCCTCGCCGAGTAGATTTCACCAAGGGAAACGATAAGTATATCAGACTTTACTGCTGCTGGCGGTGGCATTAGAAACCCAGGATGGTTCACCTGAAAAGATCAAGCCAGGGGCTATCTGATGCGACAGTAGAACGTTGAAAAATAGTCGCAACTAGAGAGATGCGGCGTTACAGTTTTAAAAATCGACCGGTTAAGGTTCAAAATAAAAAAATTTTAGATTTTAAATTAAATTTGATATTGCTATTAAGCACCTAGATTTATGCCGACCAACAAACTGTATTTCAATATTTTCAATACACAATAATTGGACGTAATGTAAAAGTCAATACCCTATTAATGACTAACATGAATAGTACACAAATTCCATAATAATAATGTTAATAACTAAATAAACATGAACGTAATTAATTTATGCTTAGACCTCAACAAAATGGTTTCAACTCCATAAAATTACTTATTATGAATAACTAATTCAATTTCCAAAGTAAAGAAGTTTTGCACAAAAATAATTATTTTTATTATTATCGGCAACTTTAAATATAAATAGTAATAAAAGATTCAAATAAAGTTCAATAGTTCCTATTTCAGCAAGAACTACAGAATTACACAAACATTTTAATTCGCATGAAAGTATATGAAAACTTCCAATTTAATAATAACCTCTAATTCAAATCAGGCCGGTAGTAATCAATTTACTCCAGGTAGGCGGTTTAACCATAGTCCAAATCAAAGCAATAGAGGTAGATCTAATAATTTTCAAGATCAAGGTCGGGTAATGGCTCAGTAGTTAATACAGTTAGCGTTACTCTCTAATCAATCTAATCAAAGCTAGTCAAATAATTAAATCGCATAAATTAGATTTGCGATTTTGATTTTATTGTAAAAGTTTTTATATAGAAAGGAACAATTTCGTGTCCAATCGAACATAAAAAGTTTCAAAGATCTCTATGCGTTCCAGTATAACAAGAATATGGTGGAGAACTGCATCCAATAGATGACCTCTGGTTTCAATTACCTTGCTAACTCATCTAACAAGAAATATTCTACATATAATCTCACTCATCTTGGAACAATGAGTGGTAGAAATTTAGCAGCTACTTGGACTATTCTTTCAAAATTTGAGTAGCGCAGAAAATAAGATCGTTATTTTATCGGATAATTCCTAGCAAAAGAATCGCTAGCAACAGAAAACCCAGTAAGTGATATAGTGATTCGAATTCCTTGAACCAAATTCGACCTTTAGATAGAATGGGTACTATCTAGGGATCATATCAGGGATCAAGGGAAGTTTATTCGCCTTACCTTTTCATTCAATGAACTACCCTGGAATTAACACAACGGCCAAACGTACTTCAACGTTACATATAGTGATCAATAAAAGCGGTCTGCAGCATCAGCGATTCAAAATAACACAACATACATCAATACCCACTAGGGATTTCATTCCTACAAGTTAAAATTTTGTTTAGAACCCTTTTATAACAAATTAACGACAAAGATACGATAAACCTTTATAGTTATCTAGTGATTTTCAGTTTCTCACATTCAAATGTTATGTACTTCAAAACTTTTTAATAACTGCATATGAAACTAATTTTCAATGCTAATCTCTTAGACACTTCGAAGGAGCATTCTCGGCGAAAGCGATCTCTTTGATACTTAGAAGCCCTAAAATAGAGAACGACAGTGTTTAAAGAGCTTTATTTGAAACGATTTTAGTTTAACGACGTCGTAATAATGCAAATTCAATAATATTCGCACATTCTAAGGTGATTTTATTGTTCAAACACCTTCTACGTGTATTAACAGTATTTACTGTTCCCTTGAAACTGTTAGTCATTAAATCGGTATCCCAATCAGGACGTTATTTCATGGATGTTTAAAGGTACATCAGAACCGAAGGGCAAATTGAAGCTAACTTTAATCGTCGAGTAATTTTTCGCTCCGTTGGTAACGTTAATAATCTATTTTTTTTAAAGGTTTTAGTTTTAATATCGTACTATTTATTTTTTTCAATACTTTTTGTTGTTGATATTTCAATATATATCTGACGATAGTACACACACTAAATTGCAATAAAAAAACGAAATCGTTTATAGCAATATTTCCGATAAAAACAAACAATTCATTTTAAATATGTCTACTTTTTGTGAAATACATTGTTTATTAAAACCGATTCATCTCAAATCTATAACTACCTAAATGCTAGTTTCGTGCTGAAATTGGTATTTATCGATTAATATATATAAGAATGGAAATTTATCTGTTAAACCTGAAAATGTAGTAGCCAACAGTTCGCACGTCAGGAGGAGATATGACATGTTCTTTGTCAGAATACGGTTAGTCTTTGTTTTGTATGCGAAATTATAATAGCGTCACGCGTTATTAATTTAATCATCGGATGAGCGGAATTGATTTTCTAAAAATAACTTTTTGTTATATGCTGTAGAAAACTTTTTGAACTAGTACTGAACTCTACCGTTATTTATCTTCAGTAAAATGCGGAACGGTGAGGCGGACGTGCAAATTTATTACTTTTCTACATGTATTTTCATTAAGCTAAAAATGTCTCGTAACGTCCAATTAGAAGTGAATCTAAATATGGGCGCATTTTGATGATGTTTTAAAAAAATTATTGCTAGCGTAAAGATGGAAACAACAGTGATAATCGGGTCTAAACATATCAATCAAACGAGTTACGTTACGTTGTAGTTTAATGAAAAGTTAAGCGTGTTTTGTAGCACAAACCGATCTGAATACAGATTGCCAGAGTTGATTAGTATCCCACCCAGTGCAGTGCACGGTAACAACATACTCGTGCATCAGATATCAAGCAGGATTCACATTACACGCATATCTACAACCAGAATAATGTTAAACTACTAAATAATAGGTGTTCACTACTTAGAGCTTATAGTTTATGTACTTAAATCATGATATCGAAAATTACTTATAATCATTATACTTAATCACGTTTTATTTTTTAACCTAAAATTCTTACAAACGAGATAGAATCTTTAATTTTCCCCTATGAGGTAGCTATACTAAGGAGAAACCCCCACTTAATTAAGCTCATGGTTTACCGATGGAAGATTAATTACCAACTTGAACGCTTCGGGGGTTAATTATACCAATTGATAACAACCTAGAATGAAATACCTGCAATCTAATTGTTATAACAATACCTAAATAAATCGAAAAATACCCAGCAACAACATGAAAGATAACATTTATTAGGGATGAAATTCATTCAACTATATTGATTGTATTACGGGCAACATCGATGTTTGATAATCAAATGCAAAACAAGGGTGCTAGAGAATCTAATAACTAATATTATTCGAAAATAAATTGTCTTTTTAATTATTAGAAATCAGTTCGTGATTAATGTTGTTTGCCCGGCGCCTCCACCAAAATTAGTTTGCCGAAATGGATTTAAAATTTTTTTATTTTTTTAAACCTCCCCTATACATACATATATCTTTTTATCTATTTGCCGAAAATACTTTTATGATACTGTTTCAAGTTATCTTTAGTTATATATTTCTCGCCATGGAACTGCGCTGTTACGTAGCTATCTGATACCACAGGGTATTAATCACCACTAGGGCGACAGTTATAATATCCTGAATCGAAGCACGTATCGTCCTTTAGCTTGGATTATAAAAGGGGCCATTTTCCTGTTGTTTACCATAGTTGTAAAGGAAAATATGCCAATGATTGATTTTTACGAAAAATAAAAAAACTTACATTATTTTTTATATTTAAAACATATAAAAAATTTTAGATTTTCTCAACGCAGGGTTATAATCGCTTACGGATAACGTTTTGTTGGTTTATTACTTATTGCAAACAATTTCCATTTACCACATTTTGTCCTAGCACTTATAGTTTTAGAGCTATAATAAAGAGTTTTAACCAAAAACGTCGATTTAGCGTTGTGGGGAGCTTTAGATGTATAACTAAAAATGCGAAATAGTTGGAAAAAAATCTTTTATATATTATGCTTTTGTGATTTATTAGGTGCAATTTTTATTTATATTCTTCTGATCCACAAGTTTTAATTTTCGAGTAAACCATTGTATAAACCTTTGTTATAAACCGTTTCATGCCATTTTATGAATATATAATAACAATTTTATTTGTTACTGATTTGAATTTCCTGCCCTGTTTCAAAACTAATTTTCCCTACAAACACTCGAGAAATTTGAAAGCTGGTGGAATTCGGACAAATAAATTCCTTCCGGTAATATTTGGTTATCAGCTACATTCCTGAAGCCGATCTTTTATAGTTGAAATGTCTATATTGATTGACATTTATACCATTATCCAGGTGATGTTGCGACGGGAGGTTGAGGTCTCAACATGTCATTTGCGGGCAGAGTAAAGCTCTGTCATTGTTGAGGTAACGGTTTATGTGGTTCTCTTATGGCCAATCTGCCAAATTGCTGCTACATTTGTGGTTTCATTACTGTAATTTAACTCTAAGTTTGCAGCTAAGATTACCATTGATTTGAATTTATTCTCTATCGATGTAATTCACAACATCTATATCTAAAGCAAGATTACCAAGTTTGTTCCATAAAACACGGTTTCACACAGTGCGAAAATTACGTGTCACAAAACGATATTATTCCCCAGAGCAAAGTAAAACTGGTCATATTGTTTGTGACAGGTCATCCAGATATAAAAATTTACGTGTATTTCCTGCTATTACTGCTACAGGTTATTGTTGATGTACATCGTTGTAACTTTTAACAATACTCAGTTCACGGGTTCCAAAATTAACTATCGATTTATATAACTGTTATTGGGACTGAAAATGAACATTTTTTATCTCTCGATCATTTAAAATTGATTGCAAAAAAAGTGATGGGTGTAAAGAAAACGTTCACACATAAAAAAGAAATTCTCGAAGTCAGATCTGAAATGTGTATGCAAATCGAGCTTTAGCACTGTCGTAATATCGCAATGTGCACTCTATCAAGCGCACTGGTGCCCCGTTATTGTATTTGCATAATAAATGCTGAACTCTTCGAGCGTAAAAGATATTACTGGCGTCCTGTTCACAATAGCCGCAAAAGTAACCAAAAAAAAATCGACTCCGTCAATAAATTTTTGATACATCCCCTTGGGGATGAAAAAATATGTTCTGTAATATCACATATTATTTCGCATAGATGAATAAATACGTTAATGTAATGAATTAATTTTATAAATCAATTTTTTCACTAAATCTAGATAATAGTATTGATCTGAAAAGCTATTAAATTGAGTCCCAGTACTCGTAATTCTGTGGAGCAACATGGATGTGACGTATTTTCCACCAAAATTACATTTTCATGTTTTCATATTTCCATCAAGTACACCTTCGCGCATTGTAAATAGAAAGCACGACCCTGCAAATAACAGGGGAAGGATTACCTTCAAAGTGAACAAACAACTAAACCCTAAGTGAATATAGAGAAGCAGTTGTAAATTGTTTTTGAATTGATTTGAATTGGAATCGTAAAGTCAAGAAATTATTCAAAATATTATTAATAAAAGTATAGAAGTTACTTAGTTTTGAATAAAATCTCTTTCTCAATTCTTAGAATTTGAAGCTTTTTAATTTTTTTAAAAATAAAATCGCGGAATTGATGTGTATGTAAGCTTGGCGAGTAGATGTAAATTTACCATTCAGTTCGGGTCCTCTGCGGTTTCTTTGTGCTGACTCCTTGGGGTATTCACTTCGTCTTCTTGCAAGCAATAGCTAGTCGTAGTTAAAGCGGTCGATGGTGACAAAATCTCCAGAATATGTACCTCCTCAGAGTTTCTCCCATTATGTTATCGCCACAATATACCAAGAACTATCTAGAAAGAAATTCTTATGTAAATAAAAAAAAAATGCTTCAAACATATAGTTACAACAAATGTTCGATGTAATTTAGGTGATTTTGGTCCATTAAATCGTTATTGTGAAAACATAATTAAAAGAATGTGTTTTTACATTTCGCTGAGCCAACAACGTTTAATTACGTTTATTTGTGAAACTATGCGTGCTCGGTACTCCTTTGTTAGTGAACTAACCCGTAAAATAATTACATTGCTCATAGGAATATATGGGAACAATTATTTTTCTTGATTTTAATGGACAAAAATTAACAATTGTTTTTGTTACAGATAATACTAAAATAATGTCAATAACATCAATGAATATTGAGGTTTTAATGACTTAAAATTATTCAATGGATTTTATACAAGAAAGTCGTCCTGGAAAAAGCGGGTCTTATAAGACTCGTTGAAACAACATGATAGTAAATGCGATGGCTTCATTTTCAGCAACACTAACAGCAAGTACACATGTTCCGACGTTAATAAACATCACTAGTATCAACAACAAAACGAACATTACGAATATTGAAAATTTACATCCGGATTGGACTCAACTAATAGTTTTAGTAGTAAAAGCTTGCGTATTTGGTACAATCATATTGTGCGCGGTTTTTGGTAACGCTTTGGTAATAATAAGTGTGCATCGACACCGAAAACTTCGGGTGATAACTAATTATTATGTAGTGAGTCTTGCCATGGCTGATATGTTGGTGGCGTTGTGTGCGATGACTTTTAATGCTAGTGTTGAACTAAGCGGCCAATGGCTTTTTGGTGCTTTTATGTGCGACGTATGGAACTCATTAGACGTTTATTTTTCAACCGCCTCTATCTTACATTTATGTTGCATAAGTGTTGATAGGTATTACGCTATAGTTCGTCCATTAGAGTACCCACTCACAATGACAACAAAGACTGTTAGTTTTATGTTAGCAAACGTTTGGATATTACCGGCCCTTATTAGTTTCACACCAATTTTCTTAGGTTGGTACACCACAGAGGAACACAAAGCGTATAGATTAGAAAACCCCGATTCATGTGATTTCGTCGTCAATAAATATTACGCAATCATCAGCAGTTCGATTAGTTTTTGGATTCCAGGAATCGTCATGTTAACTATGTACTTAAGAATTTATAAAGAGGCTATTAGGCAACGGAAAGCCCTATCACGGACTTCCAGTAATATTATACTCAACTCGATACACCAACATAGAACATCTACTTACAATCCGAGATACACGGAACATTTTCTCCATCCTTCCGATGGCGAACTTATGACGATTGGCCAGATAAATGGGCGAAGAAGTACTAGTTCCGGTTCCGCTATATCTTACGGAACCACCTCTGGAGATAACAGTAAAGCAGCTACAGAACTAAATATTAACGGTAAGTGATCATTATCTTTAATTATTTAACGTTACGCGTCATTGAAGCCATGTAGGTATTGTGTTCTACTGAACATAATGGTCATCCACAATATGAATATTAATTAATGGGCACAACACAATACATGAAAGGGCATTGATTTGAATACAGCCAATTAATTACTCTGTTAAAAAAAATTATTATTTATTTATTTAGATCATTCTTTCATTCAAAACGTTTATAATTCTTCATTTAAAACGGGCTTAATTGAATAATGCAATTTCCATGACGTACCAATAAAAAAACGTAATTCATGTGACAGGTGGATCTTCAAACGTATTTAATTACCACATGTCCTCGTTCGAGTAATCCGAATAGCGTGGAAAATGGGTTTACATGATTATAAACGCGAATTGAAACTGCAAGCAAATTTGTAATTATTACAGGTGTTTAGAATTAATACAACGAATGAAATTTTTGTTAAGAGAAAATTAAAATATTAGTTACTCATAACTTCTTCCGTCTACGAACTTAGGATTAAAAATGAATAAGTATTCGCCAAAAGTAGAACGCTGAAGAAAGCTTAGTGAACTTAATGGAAAAGTACGAACTCTTTGTTACTTCTCCAAAAGAGATTTTCAAAGTAGCTGGTTTCTGCTGTTCATTGAATAATAAGAAACGTGGTCTTTCGTTTTTAACTTTTACTTCAAAACTGTTTTAATCAGTACATAATATTAAGAATGAATAGAATTTAATACCTTCGTTATAACACATTTTTTCTATTCATATACAACATAAAATCTCCTAACGTTGAAAAAAGTGAGTTTTCTTGGTTTGCCAGTGACATAGAGACGTGTTAAGTGATTCTAGGGTAAAGTTTTTATTATTAATGAGCACATATATTAGGTTTTTAAATTATTGTTATTGATATATTGCCAATATTTGATGGAGAGCTTTTCCCTTTAAAATAATCCTAAAATGTGTCCATATTTGAATTTTAATAATATCCCACCTTGGTTTCAAAATATTACTGTAAATATGTATTTTTGAAAACCAAATAAGTTACCCTCAACTTTCCTTTGAAGAATCAAAAGCTATTCATTATTTCAATCCTGCTATTCATTGCCGTCCTCATTATCCGTTTCCTGGTAATTTAATTCATTACAGGTATACTCATCGTTTACAAACGATCCCGCATCGCTTTGAAGTAACTTATAAAAAACATGGTTTTATTTCAGGGGAGAAATACTTAGTACTGAATATAATTATTAATATTTTAAATTTATTCATTTCATATCCAGATGTGGGTAATTTTTTTTATACTAACTACAATAGATTTATTATGTCCTTTACAACTTATGTACCATTAACCCTAAAAAAGGAACACGATATCCCCCCGAGATAAGTTTTCTACTGCTACCATAAAAAGCCTGCCTCCATTTTATAGTCAAATATAAATCTTCTGCTTTAATTTTAAAATTATGTTTTAATTGAAAATTTTTCAAGGTAACTTTAATAAGTTTTCATTATTTACAATAAACAAATGAGTTTTTTTTCTTAAATGTAATTCTTGTCTCACTAGAATTGAATAGTAAATGAAATAAAATATCGATTTGGATGTTGTATTTTTTGTGCAGAATGAAACAGCTGAACATTTATTTAGTTTTATAAGCAATTAATTGTTTTTCCATACAAAATAATATTTAGTTCACTCAGTACGGTACTGTATTATTGATTTTACTTTGTATATAGGTCAATAGGGACAAAACCTGTACAAGGGACGACGGAGGCTACGCGATTTGGCCACAGCCAGTATTCGACCATAATCTGAAAAGCAGGACTAGAATAGATATATGTAGTATATCCGGGTACTTAATGGTCTATGAAGATGACTTATTATTAGGTACAGTGTAGGTTGCAAATAAATAATTTTTAAAAAAGTTGTTGGAGATTCTTCTAGTAGATCATTTCTTACTCAAAAAGGTTGTTTAAAAAGGAATGATATGATTGATATTAATCCCTGAGTTGAAAATAAATATTGACCGGATTCGTACGACCAGAAATCGCCAACGGCGTTAAAGTAATAAAACTGTTTGCTCAGCTGCAATCGTTTGGTTCCACAATGATTTTAACGCTATTTATTGTGCTAATAATATGAAAGGATTTGTATTTGAACATTCCCCCCAAATTGTATCGCCAATAAATCAAATAATTTCTCAGTCAAATTTCCAAACATAAAAAAAAATTATTATTATTATTATTTCTTTTTAGGTATTTCACTATTTTGCATAAAACTCTTTTATTATGTAACTAACAGTTTCCTCAAGATAGTATTAAATTTATCCTTGTTTTAACGACGCCCTATACCTCGATAAAGATTCAAGAGCAATTTTCTTCAACGCGCTCGGAATATAATCGAACTTCGTTAGTAGAAGGTTAAGAGCAAAGTTTCGACTATTACGCAAGATGCCTTTGACAAGCTCCTCTTCATTATTGTCTTCCATTTTTACTCGTCTCGTTCTTTTAGTAACCGTGGCAATATCGGCTAAAACGTTTCGCGGAATAAACCAGCGTTGACGTCTTTACCATTACTTTGCGTTTGATGTTATAAAAGTCTAAAAATGCGACTTGTTAAAAGTTTTTAGATATTAAGCGATATTAAGATTTTCTGAATGTTGGCTTGTTATTTACAATCTGAATAAGCCGTGAAAGAGAGAAACAAAGTTTGATATGTACGATTCAATTTTGAGAAAAATCCCGTTCATTTCGTGCTCGGCAGGTATTCAATTTCGAAAGCGAAACCGTAGTCAAAGTAGTAATTTTTTTCCACTCAACGAAGCTCGCAAAGACGTCAATCACACGAGTTATCCATCAACGTTTACTAACCCTGCGTACCAAAAGAGATTGGCAATTTTCGGTACACCGAGCTCCCTTTTCAATTTCCATTGATTTACAGAACAGGTCCGACGACGTGCCTCCTTCGTGATGCAAAAATGTAAAGAAGTGACCCTGACCTTACCATCACCATAGTTGACCTTATCGCATAATATTTGAATTTATTTGCATAACTTAATCGGAGGTACGTTAAAAATACTTGTGACAAAAATGAACTTCTTGGTATTGACGTGTCCAGTAAAGATAATCTTTATATAGACAATGTCAAAATAATTAATGTTAAATGTAATTACACTAATACTAATAAATAAAGTAAGTAATGTGTTCCTTTCAAACCTATAATTTAATTCCAATCTAGCATTAATGAAACGACTATGGAATAAGTTCAACCACCTCAGTGTAAAATTTAATTAATTTTTAACGTTAAAACTGCTGAATCGTAAACCAAGTTGCAACCACAGCGGTCACGTTATAACTGACTGCATCTTGTTCTATTTATAGCCGCTCCGCTGCAAATTGCTTTTATATCGCTCACATTTAACCCTAGCGTTGAAACATTTATTAACCCTGTATGAAATTAATGAGTTTTTATAGAAACTATTATAATTATGTTGAGAAAAATTATAACCGAAGTATAATTATTTAACGTTTTCATTGCCGAGCAGATTCAAAGAGCTTTAACCCCTGCTTTGAATCCCCCACTATATGTGTTATTAATGGTAATCAGAAGTGTTGGACTGTCGGTGTAACGTCCCCTCCGAACGATACGTAGGCTCGACCCCTCAACGTCTGCGCCATTTAACCCCTCCTTTAATACTATCACAATGTTATTTTAACTTTATTGTTCACTTTTTTCGACCCATACAATGGGGTTGGGGTTATAATAATTCCCAATATCTTGAATGTTTTGGTCACTAGGAAGAAAGATGAGAACATGAAACTACGAGTGTATCAGAAGAAAACGCAAACGAACCGGTATCTATAAGCTTCATCCCATCAATATCTACAACAGAAGAGGTCAGTGATCCTTGTTTCGTTCTTGTGATATCCGTCGAAAAAAATTTGAAGAAAGGAGATGGGTCTCTGAAAGATGTAGTTCAGAAGAACAGCTACACTCTGACTGATATCTAGCAGAACCACCAAACGACACATGCAGAAGGAAGGCATGCAATAACATTGCCACACTGAAGGACACACGACAGATTTCGATAGGGCCTAGGTGCTAGCTAGAGCCAAGAGAATGACAAGAGAGGCCATAGAGAATGCACATGGAAAATGGTGGTTAACTCGACGAAATTTTTTCCTCAAAACATGACAAAAACACCAAGTTGATAATTACTAATTAGACTTAATTGATTATTAATTAGTTTTCTCTGAGTAGGTACTGTAATAAAGCATCCGAGACAGGTTTTACCTGAGAGAGAAACATAACCTCAATTCAGTTGACAGTTAATTTTTAGTTGCTCATAATTTTCTTAAAACTATTAATATCCTTTCTAAACCATCCAAAACGGGAAAATCGGTGTCAGCTACATCTAATTTATTAGATTCCGGAAGATTTTGGCTTTTGAAAATTGGATTTAAATTTGTAAGATTCAAATTTCATTTGTGGTTGGAGAATCTTGAAACCTCCAATGAACGGTTGAAATAGAAACATATATGCATCAAATACGAAATTTTATCTAGATTAGTGAAGAATTAAAGAAGATATTAATAAAATAAGTTTCGGAAGTTTCAGTAGTTCGAAAGAAATCCGCTAGATTTTCGAAGGATTTGAAATTATTTTAAGGGAAGAAATGGCGCGAAATTCGTCAGTCACTCAAGAGCGAGGGTTAAAAATAGAAGGAAGAATAATTTCTGAAGAAGGGGAAAAGGGTATAAGAAGAGGAAAAAGTTGAAGAAAGACAGTCCAATTTAATAAGAGTAGGAGGATGGTTGTTTTAATAAAAAAAAATCTAACCTAAAAAAAGTTAAAAAGTAGTTTCCTAACCTTAACTTAGATAATTCAATCCAAATTTCACGTCGAATCAAGATTTTATATAGCCTAAAAAAGAAAAGAAAAATTTAATTCAATAAATTTAAATTGGAGAAAGATTACCTGTGTTCCTGAAAGATTTCTGATGGCAGTTACTACACCAGATTCAAAGAAGTCCGATTGAAGAATAAATATCGGAACCGAAGCTTTCCGGATTTTTGTCCATTTTCCATTCCTAAGAGGAGTAAGAGGGACCTTCCAATTACAACATAACCTAAAAGTTATTTAACAGAGTGGGAATTTTGCTGTTAATTTTGATGTCAATAATTGAAGATAACTTACGAGTCAGTTGAAGAATCAAAATTACGCGATAACACTGTTACTTTCATTTTAATTGAGAATCTATCGATTATTATCGACAGAGTTAAATCTTTAGTAGTTTCTTAACGTAAACATAATAGTTTGACGTTTGACATCTGTCTTTATTGGCGTTGCGCTCTCTCAGATAACGAATTTAAAAGTAGAAATCTGTAATTTAAACTTTCCTTTTTGAGTCTGAATTCGCTAAATTATTATTTTGTAAAAAGAACACTGAGATAAGAAAACTCAAAAACTAAAATAAAAATATTTTTTTTTTTAATAAATGACTGCAGTTATAGCAGTTTAGTTATACAGTTAAACTTTGATATATGATAGCTAATCCAATTACCAAAAAAAAAATGTTAATGAACATTATTACTGCAACAGTTTTTTTAGTACACATAAATATTACAAATATTTTTCAAAATAGCCTCCTTCTGCTAGAATACATGCTTCACAACGACGAATTAAAGAGTTCTTCAGTCGAATTAAAATGTTTGGTTGATTTCTTATTTCAGTAGCAGCCATTTGTATTCTGTTTAATAACTGTCCTCGAGTGTTAATTTCCAATTGATACACAATTTGTTTCATATGACCCCATAAGTAGAAATCCAATGGATTAAGGTCGGGAGATCAAAGTGGCCAAGCAAACGGACCATTATTACCAATCCACTTGTTTGGAAAATATTGACAAAGCTGTGCTGTATTTTATTGTTATCTACCATATAAATGAAGAAATAAATAAAGGTTTTATTGGTAGATCGCATGCTAGATAATTTATAAGTTGATACAGTTCAGTAAACTTGTTGCATTACATATTTATATTTCCACTAACACCCAAAATCAAGCAAAACTAAAATATCAAATATTTGTTTTAATAACAAGCAATCCAAACAATTTAAAATTTTGCAACTATGAAATCACCTACAATAATTTCCCGATCATCGACGATGGTTTCTCAGCTTCCATTGTATGTTATTGCATCAGAACCAGGGGATGCATATTTAATAGGGATTAGTAATCGATCCGTGGATCCGATGTTGCTATATAACTAGATAAATAGCGACTGAATTTACTTTCAAAATGAAAAGGATTTCCCATTTAAAAGTACGATTATTCTTGGAGTTGACGTTTATTACGTTACCGGTTGGAGGGTGCGTAAAAAGCAGGAAAAGAAGAAAAGTGAAATGTCAAAACGGAGGACGTACGGGATAACGTGACGACTCATGAAAAATTCATCTCGTTTTCACGGAGCTTAAGGAGCTATGAGGGACTATGTTATTTACAGAATCGAGCCTTTGTGCACTGTATTTACCGGTCCATTTGAGTTTCGGGGCTCCGAGAGCTCTCGGCCTACATACAAATGGGGTCCTGTCAATATGTGTGCATTACGACCTAATTTGATGTATGCACTGACTTCTATAGAATAGCTCGGCAAATATTACTCTAACACGACGCCTGTGTATTTACAGATTTCTCGTCTATTAGATAGTATTAGATCGTATTTTATTATATTTATTTAGGAATAAACACTATCAAAATAAGTTTTTGTGGGAGTGATATTAAGAGAATTAGTTAAGTTGATTTTTTCTAATTAAGTGTACAATTTAATTTCATTCGTAATGAGAGTATTAATACGTCAACGTTGCTGTTAAATATTAGTCTACGAGGCAGTTTTTAATTACACTTCCCGTCAACTCGCGCAAGGATATAATGAAGTCGTAAAGTTTCGTGCATGACATACGTTTTGTGTTGTTTCATAAAAAAAGAAATTCTAGTTACGTATGTATTTCAATGTTTGATGTTAAAAAACACTAAAGAGTTTCAGTAAAAATCCGCAGACTATAAAATCAAAGTACACGATACCATCTCTTGTTAAATTAAGTTCCTGTCATATTTATAGACTCGATTTTTACAAAGATAAATGAACATTACCGCAGGGAACAATCGAGTCCGATCCAGTTGATTGCTTCGCGAAGAAAATACCCAGACGTCTGCTTTAATTGAGTTTCCGATTTCGTATTAAAGTCCTCCGCAGGAATTGGATATCACCGAACTACTTAGATTTTTTAAATTAAAATTATTTTTAAGTCATATAAATCGTTAATCTGTAATAAGAATCTCTTATAAATGATTTAACACAATTACAAGTCATCAAAGTTAACGATTTTAATAAGATGTCAAGAATTTTGAAGAGTCTTAACCAAGTTTAACGTCAAGAACATAACAAGACAGATTTTAATTTAAATCTGAATAATTCCGAAAATCATTTAGATTCGAAATATTTGTAGTAAAACATTTATAAATATAATATATATAAAACTATATTAAACTAATTGAATTTTTCTTTTCATTCTATATAGATTTGGTAGAAATACTTTGATATCCTCACAATCTGATAAGTGGTGTTACGTATGGGTAAAAGCTTTGGCAAACTTAAGCCTGCTTATTTTGCACCCTTCAATATCGAATGTAGTAAAACCATAAAATCCTCTTCAAACATTATTTTCCAATATCCAACCCAAAAGTGGTTTCATAGATATTTGCGATATATTGTGAATAAAATAATAATCAAACAATAATAAAAAAATAATAAATATCTTGTAGGATAAACGAGAATGCAAGAAAACGTAATTCGTTGAGACGAGATCAAACTTCAATTGAAGTTTATCTTGACATTTATTCTCAATAAAATGCAACAAAGATCAGAAAGAATTGCGATGCCAAGCATTCTCGGATTTATTCCAACTGCCGATAGAAGAGGCTCGAAACGTAAAGTATTGAGGCAAAACGTCTTTCGGCCACTTCCGTGAACTTTTCCCTGGCTACGTAATCGACGCTATGGCCGACAGGTTGAACCCCGCCGGGAAAATCAATAGGAGAGGCCCCTTTTGCGCCCCGGGAACTCCCCTTGCCAAAACAAGCAGAATTTCGACTGGTGGCACTCTTACTTGAAACTTATTGTTGTTACAAGCGACGCGACGAGCCGCAACTTTGCACGTTAATCAGGCGCAGTTGTCAAAGTTTGAGGTTGCGCTTTAGAGTAACACTTCGCCAATCTAAGTGTTAATAAATTTTAAAGTAATGGTAAAATTTTCCACGTCATCACCAACACTATGTGAAATGTGAAGTCTGATGTAAATTTACTTAAGCAGCTATCAGTAAGTTCATATTATTCCAATAATATTCTGGTCCAGCAATTCAATTCAGTAACTGTACATATCTGACCGGTATTTTGATTCCAGTTCAATGAATTCGTTACAGGCAGTGTTTGCCTTATGGACATAGTTCGATATTACTGGGTAATGACAATGTTATTAATCGCTCTTAGACAAAATCAAGTACAAATCTATTTAGAATATTAATAATTTTAGAATATTCACACAGTTCACTATTAATTGTGGTAACGATTGGGATGGACGACGTAGTTGAAATGAATCATGTAAAGAGATATGATGGGAGTGGTAAAGAGAGACACATTAAGTTACTGACCCATACAAAGCCTGCCAGTTTTTACTGCTTTCTTACGTTGGATAGTAGTCAATAAAAATATGTATGCATCTAGGTTCAACATCTTCTTGACCTTAATGGTGGGCGTCGTTATTCTTTCCATTATTAGCAAACAAACCAATTATTGCGTTTGATGGAATAATTTAGCCTTGAATTGGATCAGTTCACCAAATAGATCAATGGACGAACATGGATTTAATCACAATCGAATCCTATCAATTGCTATCCAGCCATAAGCTTCTTTATCCTTAAACCTTTATCTTTATCGAGATATTTTACCTTGAAGACAAAAGTTATTTTAATTAACGTTAAATAACATAAACAATATTTAGAATTTTCCCAATTAGTGTGAAATTCACTCCTTTTAGCAAAGACTACTCCTAATTCTAATTAAAAGTTAAATATCAGGTCTACGAATATGGTTGGTCGCCGGGGAATGAGAAAATTCAGTTAAATCGGAGTTAAATTTGACTGCGTATTTCAGTACATAAAGCTAACGTCGTCGGAAATCGACACTTATAATTAAATTGAAGTCAACATCTAAGTGATCCACTTTTCAATCACCACTCGCATTAGACTTAGTAATACTTGGGCCCAACAATATATGGATAAATTTATCAAAAATGATTGATTTAGTGTATGACATCATTTAGATTAAAAATTAAATATATATTACCTAAAATAATGCCGCGAAATACATCCTAGTTTTCTTATTTCTTTCAGGTACAACAATAAGACAGCAATCTAAAAGTTGGAGAGCTGAACACAAAGCCGCCAGAACTTTGGGTATAATAATGGGAGCTTTCATGTTGTGCTGGTTACCATTTTTTCTATGGTAAGTGAGCGCCATTTGGGCAAGTTAAACTAGTAAGTAAGTTTAATCCAGTTTCAAATTATAACTTTCAAAGGCATGTACTTGAATTACACGGGACGATATCACGTTACGAATTGAAGTGCGTATAATGATCTTGCTTTCCGTCATGATTCGAATTGGTTCAAATTTCAAACGGAAAGCTTGACCTTTACCGTTGGCGTTGTTTATGGGTGAAATGGCCGTAAAATTAAGGAACTGTTTCAGTACAAAAGATTTCTAGTGGAAAACCAACGAAGCGCGTTGGAGTAAAAATAGAAAATTCTCTAGTGTTTTGTCCATTTGTGACGTAACGTCTTCTAAAATAGGAACTAACACAAAATACTGTATTAAATCGCTGTTATAGACTGTTTTTGGATTATTATGGGGAATGCGTCTCTTTAGTTAACACCTATCAAAAGACTGTTTAATACGTTATGATTATTCCGATACACATGTATGCGTTCAAAATAATAGAGCTATCGATTTCTAACTAACGGTGTATATGAGGTTTGGCGTATAAATGCTCACGTCACGTTTCCCAGAGATTGCATACACCCAAACCCTCATTGCAACCAGTTTTAGTAGGATTCAAATTAGTGTTGTATTCATGACCAGCGTAGGATAATTGAAATTACCCGGAAACGATGGACAGGTTCATGTAAATATTAATATGAATAAACCAATTTTTTTTTGATGTTTTAATTAAAATAGTGAATTTAATATTTCATACAAATGCAGTTTTATAGTAAACATAAATTTTTATTTAATTATAATTTCTTAAGAGCGTTCAATATTTAAGTACGTTTAATCCATTTTGTTACTGTTGAGGTTACATATATCGGTGTTTAGCTTTCAAAATCCTCTCTGATCCTCGTAAACACGAGATCTTAAAATTATTAAGTTCTCGCTACTGCACTAAGTGAATAGATTACGTTGATTAAAATTTCATCTGGCTTTCGCGGCGTGGCTTCCTTGGTCGGTAAGCACAGCGCAGGAATCTACATAAGTAATTAGTTTCTATAGAACAAACAAGCAAAGTATCTTAGCTAATGTGTATTTAGAGTTTACATGTTTGGTCACTACGCGATAGCGTTAAGTAATTTGTGTCACTCATGGCAGGTACTTTAAAACTTAAATTATGTTATATTTGTAAACATGAAATTTTAGATGTAGTGAATAAGTAAAAACATATTGAGCTCAGCATTAAAATTTTATTTTTTATGATTAATTATTTTTATCGTTATAAAAAGCAGGACAGAGTTTCCAGGAAGTATGAAAAAAACATCACTTATTCTCTGAAGTCTAAAAGAGGAATTCTCCGAAAATATTTACACCATCCTTTGAAATTGATTATTCACCGTAAAATCTTTCAAATACTAATGAATTTCGATTTTCTGGAAAGAAATTATTGTCATAGGGAAATACAAGTGTTCCTATTTTCCACCCAGATTATGGGAGAATTTGTGTTTAGCGTTTAATTCATCTGTAATTCGTGACAAAATAGTTTACGTATGGGTTTCAGCTAATTACATAATAAAGAGAATGTTTTTAGAGGGATAATAATTTTTTGATCTCCCCGTCTTGAAAATCAATTTGAGGCAGATATGGAACTGGGGGGAAAGATTATTTAGAAAGGATTTGTGTAGATGGTGAAGGAAATGCAGAATAGATATTGAAGGTGAGTCTTGGGGTTGAGACTTCGGAATATATATCAAGAGAGGAGTTGAATCTGAGAGCTGGAGAAGATGAGGGTGAACCTTTCTGATACACCAGTCTAGTTCCTGAGTGGATGTGCAAATTCCTTTTTGATCATGCAAGCCACTCCTCCCTGCCCCAAAATTTTAAAATAAGTTGATTCCATACTCCTAAACTGTTCTAATTCTTAGCTCTTGTTTCTTACCTTTTAGATTTGAAGTGACCACCCGTCGTGTAGCATCTCTCCGTTAAAAATCGACATAAAAAATGTTAGTAATTTTGTGAACGAACAGATTGAATTATCATTGAACGACTTTGTACGAATAATACATAGAACAGTCTCGTCCGGAGTAAAAGAGCAGATGGAATTTTCGACTGCGGTAAACTAAACTTTAATCCGATATCCCCGGAAAAGTTTTAGCCGAACTGGAACGCTTTTAATCGTATCACAATGGTTAAGGGAAACCATCGTTTCGACCGCCAGAAAAGTTAAAAACTCGATAGAATCAAATTTTTACTACCTCTAGGATCCAACCCAATTTCAACAAGACCGCACCTTACCAAACTAATAATCCCCACAGATATCGTCGTATTTCAGCGTTTGTATAAATAAGTTTAATAATAAACTTTATTATATAGATATGAATCTATAGATAGTGCGTATATTGCCGTATAATAATCCTTATTAGTCGCTGTTCTGTAATCCAGGCAATTAAATTAAAGTTTAATCAGTCGTGAACTCTTGTATGACATAGTTTCTGAACATGAAACGTACTTGATCTAGGTTATAGGAAAATTGATTGTTAACAAAGTTTTGCCTCAAGTAGAATTCAACAAATGCCTATTTTAAATGATTATGAATAATCATAATTGGTGAGAAAGTACCATATTTTCCAGGATATTTATTTAATAAGCTAAATTCTGAGTATTCGAAGCTTTCAATTAATAAATAAATTAATGATTATATTCATTAAACTGCTAGTGACACATTGACAAGTTGGGCGATAACAAAGCACCGCAAACGGCTTTGTTCCATGATTCCTTTGAAAATAGTCTACAGTATCTACAGTACAATTTAATAATCGACACCGCATTACGTGTTTGTATTTTTCTCGGAAACCGTTAGACCTTGGAAAACGTGTTTTCAACAAATTCATCCTATTAATATCAATAAATGGGTAGCGGTTAGATAGATATTAAATAAACACTTTGAGATTATACGTTAACTTTATGATTTTATTTCATACATTAAACTTAATATATTTCAGCTATGCATAGTTTACATGCTGCCAAAGCTAACATTCTTAGCTGTCTACATCAACTTTCCTCTTAGCGTGGTTATACTACATATTCATACATCATAAATTCGTAGATGCAACTCGTTCCTCACGTATTGCCCTGGCGAGCTGAATTATACAAGTTCAAGTAAGATTTATCGTTGCAGCGAAAACGATTTTGGTAATGCGAAGTGCGCCAAAGTTGCATTACGAATTTCTAATGTAATAACTGATTTTGGCATTCCAAATATAAATTTGCTAAATTTATTTTCCGTTTCGGTTGAAAACGTAACTAAAATCTATATTTTCTCCAACCCTGTTACGCAAAACAAAAGCCTCGAAGTTGAACGTACCGGTATTGTTCACCGTACTTAACGTATCTTGTTTCAAATTTCCAGTAAACTACATCCATTGTGTTAGAATTCCAGAACGAGTCAAGAAAAAACATTGTTAATTAGCAGAATTTTTTTAAACATTTTTTAATAACATTCATTTTAACAATTCGCCACAAATTCGGTAAAAAATTCATTTTTTTTTCTATAATTGAAATTGAAATTGCAAAATACCATTTCCACAAATTGTATTAATAAAAATTTTATATATTCAAAAATCGTTGTGTAAAAAAGTGTAAACAAATTGTATTATAAAATTTAATTATGGCTTGTGAATAATGCAATTTCAATTCAACTCCAAAATGTTATCGCACGCCAATAACCCCTCATCTAAAAATACTTCTAATTCATCACATGTTAAACTGTCCAGCTGTTTCGTCATTTCGTTTAAGCTGTTAAGGTATTCTTTCTCAATGAATTTTGTGTCCTCTGTTGGAAAAGATTTTAAATATTTTTCAGGTTTTTCATTTAACTTTTCGTTATTGATATTTTCTAAACATTTATCGATATCTCGAAGTTTTTTACGAGCTTCTTCAAACTCTAACATATCCTCCTCAACCTTATCTTCCTCTTCATTTTCCTCAGATTCTGACTCGGCGGAGTTTATATTCAATAGATCGTTATAACGCTTTTGGATATCATACAGCTTTGTTTCCAAATCGCTTAAAATCGCCACATCTTCTTTACTCAAAACGTTTGTCTCTCCTTTTTCATCAGATTGCACTTCATTCTTCATAATTTGATTAAAATTATTCAAACTCATCAACCTTCTTAATTCATCTTCTCTTTGAAGAAAATCCTCCAAGTAACTATTTATCACAACTCCGTTATTTTCGATTTTTTCATCATCAGTTATGTAATCTGAAGGATCATAATCTTCGGTTATACAAAAATCATTAGTTTGTGAAGAGGAAGTTGTGGGTATTTGAACAACTTTATTTGATATATTAATTGCAGGTAATTCTGTACTTACACCTTGAATGGTAACTTTATGTATGATTTTTATTTTGGTTATTGTTTAACTTACCAGGATCATCAACACCAATATTATCGATACATCCTAGTTTATCCATATTAAGGCCGTAGTGGTTAGAAGTAGCTGTAATAAATAGATAAAACAACAAATGACAACAAATTATGTGTAATGTTAGTAAAATGTCAAAGTGATTGATTTTGATTAAATTAACTATATTTATCATAGCATACTTTATAGCAGGGTTTAATTGTCATGTGAGAAATGCCAACCCTAATGTTTCTAGTTCTAGTTTTAATTGTTATTCAACATTAGATTTTGTTATATTTTTATTAAACGAAAAGTAGAACTAACACTAGACCTAGAACTAGAAAGTATCAGACGTAAAGTAAGTATTCAGACGAACGGCTAAACCCGAATGTTAACAAAATTATTTTCTCATGTTTAAACTCTTAATTGTTTTAAAACAAAAAAGCAATCTTTAGGGAGATCCTTATAGAACGAGATTTTGATGTTTTAACTTACAGAAATATAGGATTACAGCTGTCATAAAAGATACGAATTAAAGTTTAACCGCGAAGAGATCATAAAACAGCTTTAACGGTGATAACAAGACGAATTTGATGTTTAAAAAGTTTTTTAAAATAACATGTATAAATTGATCATAATCATCAAAGCATTACTCATAATTGACAGGTTAACAAGAAACCTTTGAGTTATTCATTGAACTAAATTTATAAATCGATTTATCAAATTGATTACATTATGTTTGAAAGAAAGATATATGACATTAAAGTTGGTGTAAACTTTGATAATCGATTAAAGTTACACCAAACTACGACCTAATAGGCAAATAACAGGAAAGTTAGTAGATCGTCTTAGAAATCGGAAATTATACTAAACTCGTCTCCTTTGATGTAGAGTGTAGACCCCTTCCCGTTATAAACAGAGTTTATTATCAATGAACGGCCACATTTGCCTGTTGTTGTTCGTTTAGGTGCCCTGAACAGGTTGGTTATTGGCAAAGCTCGCGGCACGTCGTAAAATTATCGGATTGCCATAAACAGCGATAACAGGGCATTTGCATACTCAGGTAGTAACCGGTCTTTATTTGTTACAGGTACGTAATATCGACTTTATGCGGCGGAGATTGCTCGACGCCGGGCGTCGTCGTCGCCATGCTTTTCTGGATCGGTTACTTCAACTCCGCCCTTAACCCCCTCATATACGCTTACTTCAATCGAGATTTTAGGGAGGCTTTTAAAGATACATTACTTTGCGTCCTACCATGCTGTTTTGGATGTTGGAAGAATCCAGCCAGATTTCTCTAGCAAAAGGACGACCTTCCCACCACAAAAATTACCGCTCCTATAATAGATGAATCTCCGGAACGCCTTAAAGACGAAAGGTTGTAAAAAAACGTGTATTATAAGTAATTAAAATTAATTTTCATTGAGAAAATTATTTTCATCCAGCTCAAATTGATACACAAATTATAAACGAATTGTAGTATTTAATAAAAACGGTTGGTGGATTTATTATCAATGATATAAATATTTCTTGTTCTTTCTCTAGCGAATAAAAACATTGCTATATTTCTTGCAATGAATCGGTGTAGAAATCTTAATAAGATATCTATATAAAATTTTTTTTATAAGATCGGTTCGCTGCTTGTGATATAAATAGATATTTCACCTAGCTTAGTTTTAAATAATAGTACAAGGGTGTACATGACAACGGATCTCAAATTACTATCCAATTTAACATTTTTTTAATGAAGCAATTATTTAGAAACATTTTTAATTGGTTCATTAAATTGGTTTAGTTGCGTAATAATTTATAAAATCTTTTTAACAAACTATCTACATATTTGGAACAGTGGTTCTCAATCCATTTTAAAGCAATTTCGAAGCAATCGATATTTCTTCCTTGCAAACTTTCATTAATAACCTATTTAAAATTATGTACTTACCAGAAAATATTAGGTGCTATTTATCCACAAACTACTTGAAAAACGCTACATCCACCGATATCGATCAATTAAGTTCCGTTGCTATGGCTTCCTTATTTTTTTGTCCCCACTGTAAATAATTTAATAAATATAGAATGGTAATATAAAAGCTACAGCGTCCAACTTATTTTTTAATCATACTAATAGCAATAAAGCAAGACTTTAGCGAGCTAATCAGTTAACTAACTTACGTTAGATGCTAAATCTCATTATCCCAAACATTCCTAAAAACATTAATCTGCATATTTCTGTGATATTGCGCTAAAAACGATTGGGTATAAGATAAGATGGAATGTAAGATCATAAAATAATAAAAGGAAAGTGTACATTTCTAGACTTAAAACGCATGTATACGCAAATAAAAATTAAAAATTTACTTTATAAACAGAATTAGCTAATTGTTAAGTTCTTTTCTAAATCTGCGTGGTGATATCTGAAATGAATAGTAAATAAAATCGCATGTAAATAAAAGTAGCAATAAAATGTTTCTAATATGGTGCAAGTTACATATCTAGGTTAAGCTAATCGACTAAAATAACATGTATAATGTATAAAAAAATATTTTCTGTAAGAAAGACGATGAAAATAACAAAACGGTTGTACAAAATATTATTTTCGGTCTTCCCCACTTGATGCTCAAGTTTACCACGGAACTAAAAAAAATCCTACGTTGCAAAATACATCGCTGACTCTGCACGTTTTTTTTTAAACAAGCTCTACAAAGATATTTAAATGATATTAAAATGTACGTGTATTGTTATACGTATGTTGTATAAACAGACAATCGAGTAGGCCTATTTTGTATAAAAAAATAATATGATTGTGTCATGTAAACCGGATGTCTGACTAAGAAATGTATAAATTAAATGTTATATGTAATAAATAAAAAGCTATACTCAAACGATATAATGGAAAATAAACTGATTGTTAAACTGTTTGTAATTTTTTCTATTTATATTTTATCCCATCCAGTTAATATATGTATGTGAGAAAATTTAAAATTTAAGCTCAGCTTTTTTAACAGAGATATATCCGACATCTATGATCGCGTATCTAAACCTTTAAAAAAAAATCAATAACCCTTAAAGTAAAGAATGATTATGAAGCGATTTCTAAATCTACCAAGAAATTACAGTTATCTAAATACGATATTACAGAAATCTATTTTTCTTGTATATTCGACATCTATGTTCATGTGGCAAACTGAATCTATTGAACAATAATTATTGTTGCTTAAAGATTTCTGACTCACTCTACGCAATTTCAAATTTTAATTTCGCACCACCACCATCTTTTGTTAACTAGCTGTTTTAAACGATAATATTTAAACGTATACATTCATTCGATATTGTTAACTGTATGCAAAGGTAAATAAAAGTACGAGTTTATTAATTTGTCCTCTTGGATGTGGCGTTTAGTTTTGTTTAGTTTACAGTATACCTTTTAAAGAAAATATTATGTTACAAGTAGAAACAATATTATACAGTAAATTTCATTTAAAAGGCAATATACAAAAATGTAGTATATGTAGTATCGTTGTTTACCCACTCAACGCTGTAAGCTTCTTAAGCTAAATGGATATACAGGTCATATCAGGCAAGTGACTTACTTCCCCACTACTTCATTAAGAACTACCAAACTCACCTCATTTTTTTCCATATCATTGGTGTTAACTATTCAATGCTGCATGCGAAGTACTATTAAGAGAATGTTTAGAGCAGCGAATTTGTGAAATTTATGTGAAATTCAGTACCCAATATTTTAAAGGTAGTTGAGGTCCAAAATTAATTTAATGATGATTTTGATGATTCATCATAGGCTTATCACGGTTGTCAATGTTATAGCTATGATATGAGTAATCTGACAAGAAGGTGAACAATGGATTTAAGAATTCTTACATGATTTAAATAGTCAGTATCCAATTTTAACAATTACCACTATGGTAATAATTAAGATGTTTCCTTAAAATAAATGTGATTAGTAATAAAGGAAGAAATAGAAATGCAAAATATAATGGTATCTAATTTTATGAAATATCCGGGTAGGAGTTTTAAAATGGGTCTTGGAGTGAAATATTTTATGAAGGGTAAGGTCGCGTGGAGAACCGCTTGAATTCTCTCAGACGTTTAATTTCGCACGAGTGACTCGATCTTGTGCAGAAGTGAGCGGATTATAGTATAATACGACACGGAATAAAATGTAGCCGGATTTATGCTTCGTACACACCGTATTTTATGTCGAAGCATTCGTTTTCCAAACAGGTTGTTTAACAATTTTAAATATTAAAATAATTTACCCGGATATCTTGTTAAAATAAGACGTTTGTAAGTTTACGTGCGTATCGGATTACCCAAAACGGACGAAATTTCTATTCATAAATTACGATCCCTTCCGAAAGGATCATACCAGCACGTATGATAACGAAGGAAATCGTACTTCGTCCTTATTGATCGTAAAACGGGGCGGTGAATAATACACATCCACGCCGGTGGTTGTAGTTGACCGGAAAATTGGTATTCCACTCGTACTAACATCCTGCCCCAATCAATTTCATACATTATTCATCAAATACAGTAAAGTATACCATAACTGAAGAAGACACCAAATCACTACATACCATTAGGATTTTTTCATAATATAAAGATTTCAAACTATCACCTACAATATGTAGGCCAATATGTATGCCAGAGTTATATCAGTTAATATAGCAAGTCGCAAGCGCAGAAAAGGAAGTCTATGTTTATAAATAAAGTTTGGAACGGAGTGGGATATATACACAAATGAAGATTAACGACAATATGTCCACTGTATAGGACGAGAGTGGCAAAAAGGTTCAGGGGAATAACTATGTCAAATGCAGAGATTCTTTCTTTTATTTCATATGAATTTAATATTTATCTCCTTTGTTTCTTCATTATATTTGTGCATTTCATTGTGAAGCCGCAAAATACTTCATCTCTAAATGAATGAAGAAGTGGTGAATTAACGTATTGTTAAACCGGTTAAGTATGAAGCATCGTATTAAACAAAAGGGGTCGAATGTCATCTGCCACGCCATATGGCTTTGTTCTGGACTTTCAGCCGTTTCTAGATAACGTGCCCACACTAATTGAACTCACGTGGTTACTCATGCATTGATTTTGCGAAGTTGTGAATGCCAACTTTGCGTTTGGGGAAATTTGGGGTTCGCGGAAGCCGTCAGCAATTTGTAAAGCTGACTAACGATTTCGTAGAAAGTATATGTTTTCAACGCCTCTTATTTAGTAATTATGATATTAGATTTTAGTTACGATGTACGGTTTGTCGCAAATTGTGCTCGTGTTGCCGGGTCTCTTTAGTAGTGTGAATTTGTATCACAGGCGAGAACAAATTTCGATTGGATAGTCGTGCACTTGGGAAAGCGGGTTAACCCACTGTTGACATTATCGAACATCCCCTAGGTAGTATATTGTATGCAAAATAGAATGGAATACAAATAGAATTGAAATCGTGTAATAAATCTTGTACTTTGAATGAATGAATGAGATCGCTTTTTTATTAATTTTTACGAATTACCATTTAAGACATATTAAGTAATCTGGATTTTCAGGTTACTCGTTCTTTTCGGTCTAATGAAAATTTACGCTAATCCTAGGTAACAAAAAGGAAACCCTAACAAACCCCTCTTTGTAGCAATAAAAGGATCAGGTTTAAGGGTTATATTAGAAAATAAAATTGATGTAAATGAACATCCTCGATTATTCATCCAACGTTAATTAAAAATCGCATTTTTTACGCTATTAGTACACGAGTTCATTTCGGATTCCATTTCGTAGATCTGTACAACTGCAAATTGGTATTGTTTTTTGCCGTTTGAAAACCCCCACATTAATTAGTGTGGAAAACTACAATCTCAGTTGAAGAAGTTCAGAGCTTCAACTGACATCAGAGGGATTCTAGCACCACTCCATATAGCGCTTGCTTTATATTTAGGTTTCAGTTTATTTTAATTTTGTTGGCCCCTTTGAAGAGCGCAGGTGTTATTAAAATGAGATCCGTTTACAGGTCATCGTTGCATGTAGGTACAACAGAACATATTACCACTTTTTAACTAATATAAATAAAAAAAATCAAAATTATAAACTAAATCGTGCAATTTCATTTGTAATTACACGTTTCTCAGTGTGAATTATTTATACACGACTTGCAAGCTGTCAATTGCACTGTCACGTACGTCCGATACGTGTTTAGTCAGAACACGTTCAATTCCCTTGTAGCTACTTGTAGACTATGGCTTCAAGGGAGTACCGAGTGACACGATTTCTGCTTTACATTCAAGTGCGCAACATTGGTGTAGAGGCACCTCTAAATTTTGATATTAATTTGAGGTGGAAATAGTTTGTAGATTTCTAGATAATTGAAAATATTTCAATAAACACGATGAGTGAAGTTTCCGATATATTCTATGCAAAATTGTATTGGTGGAATATTAAAGATCCATTTCGAGGAAACACAATATGGAAATTGAAAGCACACCTGTGAAATGTGAATAATTTCAGCAAGATATTTCGACACTTTCTATGAGGGAGAAGAATACAAAACAACCGTGCATAGGATACAAGATATTAAAGAAAATGTCGATTTTATTGAAATGTTGGTTCTCACTTAAAGAGAAGAGTTCTGATTTTTTTCTTAATTTTCTTTGAGAATGAAAGACTTCCTGTATAAATAATAAGAGTGCCAAAAAGGATTTATTATTACTGTGTAACTATAAACTAATTCGAAATGATTTAGAGAAGTTTTAATGACTTTGAATACTTTTGCAATGCCATAATGTTATTTTGAATAGTTTTAGTATCAGTATTCAATCATTCTGAACAATATAAAAGAGGTACTAACGAGTTCTTGAACATTTAGACAAATTTTCAATAATGACCAACTAATTTTCAATCATTTTAAACAATTTCAAATAACTCTGAACCAATTCTTAATTGTTTAGGCAAGTTTCCAATGATTACCAATCAACTTTCAACGGGTTTGAACAACTTTACGTGCAGTCAATCATTTTACAGTTATGCAGCAGTTTTCAAGTATTTAGACAAGTGGCCAATATGATTACCAAATAGTCTTCAATCTTTTTTAACAACCTCGAATAGCTACAGAATAGAATCAGTTTGCAAACTTTTGAATTCAGTTTTGATTCAGAACAACTTGAAGTGGCCATGAACTAGTTTGTCATCATTGCCACTGATTACTAACATTAATATGATGACCAGTTTCAAAAGATCTTCGGTTTAATTAATAAGAAGATCTACAACACCTACCTGATAAAGCCTTTGTGGTTACAAAAGTCGACTAAAATCTCATCTCGTTCGTGTATTACTTCTTCATTAAATGTGCAAGTATAAGGCTTTTTATAACTTTTTTTTGTAATTTGTTCACATTGTAAAGGATACTCTTAAAAGAGGACTTTTGCTGTCCAATCTATACATATTGCTTTGTTAGGTTGCCCTACTTGCTTCGCAGCGTTATTGAAGCATGCAAATCGCTTTTATCGGTTCGAGATGCTGAAAAAAGAAACGTTTTATACAAAGTTCAACCTATATTTACATTTTACAACATTTCTTACAAATTACTTAAATCACTCTATGATTTTTTTTTCGATATAATCTTTACAAAAACATTTTGACAAATCAAATTATTAAAATATTGATCATATTCAATTTAAATTTTGGTTTGTGACACTAAAAACACAAATGAAAGTGAACTATTAAGAATTTTTTGTTAAATATAACAAAAAAAATGAGTTTGTGAAATAGAACCCCGAGGGCCTTATGAACGTGAATGCAAATATTAGCAATTATTATAGTACTCGGAACGTTCGAAGTATTAATTGATGTTTACCTTATAACCTCGATAGTAAAATCGTATTACCTGGAGTTTCGTGTTATAATTGAA